CCCCAGGCCCCGAAGCTCCCCCCGCCGTGTGCCACCAGCCAAGCAGGACAGCAACAGGGCACATGCACAAGCAGCAGCGTCAGGTGCCCCTCAAAGCATCGCCGAGCGGTGACCCAATGTCCCTCCATGTCCCCACCACACGAGAGCGGAGCCTGCTTCTGCATGTTTGGGAGGAGCTCCCCGCTCCCAAAACACCAGCGAACGCTCCCGACACACCCAGCACGCACATCCCAGCTTCCTACCTTGCGTCTGCAGCAGCTAAGTCAACGCAGTGATGAGCCCAGAGATTTTCACTGGGTTTAGATCTAATCAAAAGGCAGGCCGGGCGGGTGCCAGCCTCTCCACATCTCCCCGCCAGTGGGGAAACATCCTCTGGGGTTTCTCTTCCCAGCAGACGCTGGGTGGGAGGACTTTGGATAAGCAGAAGGCTCCATGTGTGCTCCCAGGCTAACACCGTCGCACAGGGGAGAGCACAAAACCAGGCCCAGGGGAGAAATAAACCTTCAAAACAACCAGCTCAGGCCAATATGTGTCTCAGGAGTTTGTTACCGTGGTTGCACCGGTGCAGTTTGGAGCCTGTATCTCAGGAGCCTCTACACAGCACACCAAAATACTGCCAGCTTCTCTGCATCCAGCGCTTGCATTTGGGCTGCTGCAGAGACGGAGTTCTCACCCACGCCAGCACTCTCGGCACCCTGGGGTCACCCAAACGGAGAACTGACACCGAGAGCTCGTGTGACAACACCGCAGCCTCCCAACGCCTTGGATTTCAACTGCTCTTCCCCTCCTCATCCCAGATCCACAAGGTCACTGCCATTCAAGATGGCAAAACGCGTCTTTCGATACGCTGTGGATCTCGCCCCTCGATCCCTAACGCTCAGAGCACCACGCACTGAGCTCCAGCCCTCTGCATGCTCCAGCTCCCAACGCGAGAGCACAGAACTAAAGACTGCTCGCCTCCACGTGCCTCCTGCTCCCAGCAGCATCCCTCGCCTGCCACGTCACCATCTTCCCAAAGCCGTCCCTCTCCCCAACCTCTCTGCTCTTCTCTAATGCTCTCTGGCCAAGAAACACCGCTCCACGTCTCTACATCTTGTCCACATCCCCTTCTCAGCCCCAGCACAGGAAAGAATTAAAACTCCTCATCACAAAAAGTCACCACACCAACCACAATGTTTCAGTCCATCAGAGCAAACCAGCTGCCAGACTACAGGGTGGAGGAGCAGTTATTTACCTTCCGGGGCAGGGAAAAGGGGAAGAGTCCAGGAGAAGTTAATGCTCTCGGCTATTTGCTTTAGCCTCAAATACAGCCATGAGAAAGCAAAAAGCAGGGGGACAAGGGGACACGCTGGGCTACATCCCCAAACCAGTGCAAGGGAAGAGGAAGACGATGGAAGAAGGCAGCAGAGAGAGAAGGGAGATGGAGAGAGAGATAGCAAGAAGTGAGGAGATACTCACCAAAGAGACATGAAGAGGTGCCAGGAGGAAGAGCTTTCCTCACCAGCATGTTTTGTTTCAGAAAAGCAGCAAACTGAGCTGAAATGAATCAGAGAGAATTACAGTATCACAGCCCGGCTCTGGAGGGGAGACAGGGAACTCCGGGGACACCTCTGCGACCCACAGACAGAGACCTCAGAGCAGGCAGGCAGAGAGCTCCGGACAGGACTCATCCAGCCACAGGGCACAGCAGAGACACACCAACCTCCTCTCGGGATCATCCCAGCCTTCCCTGAGAGCACATCCCAACAGCACAGCCTTCTCTATCCCCACCGCCATCGGGAAGAGGTCCGGCAGCCAGGGAAGGAGAGCAGGCTGGGCTGCGAGAGGCACAGCTAGCTTGACCAAGCAGTTACGCCGAGAAGCTGAGAGCAGCTGGGAGACGTCAGCCAGCACGTGCCTGAACAGGTCCGGCCACAAAACGCAGCCAGAAGCCACACTGCAGCAGCGCTCCTGACAAAACACAGTGGCCACGACACGCCCCACTCCACACACCTTCCTCCTGCCTCCCCGTGCTATCTAGAAACCTCCTCCCTCAACTACAACTACAAAGGAATAGAATCCTTTAGTCTGTGGTCTGAGAAATTAGGGGAGATCCAAGCTTCAGCTTCCCTCTGGAGCCCAGCCCTGACTTAGAGAAAGACTTTAGAGAACGTGGAGGGTCCCACTGTTGCAGGAGACAAGGACAAGCTTGGTCAGGTCTGTCTTGAGCAAAGAAATAAGGAGAGAAGGGAGGATGGAGAACTGATCCCCAGGTACCGCTGGTATTTGCCAGGAGGGATCATCATCATCAACAAAACCATTACCTACATCCACAGCGCTCAGCATCAGACCGAAGCTGCACCAAAAGGTTTTTAATCAGCATCCAACAGGACAAAAAAAAAAACCAAAAACCCACAGCTCAAGCTGCTTTCTTATTCAGAGCAGGTTTTCCACTGCCACTCGGTGCAAGATAAGTCTGTAATTACCCCAGCCCTACTGTTTCACTCACAACTCAATAGCTTCAGTCACCTTTACTCTCCCTCGCAAGCAGCCTTCAAGCCCATGAGACACCAGTCGAGGGGCTCACGCTTGAAATACAATTAGAGTGAAGCTACATGGGGATTTGGTCAGGCAGAACAAGTGAAAATCCTCCCCGCTTAGAACAGCAGCGAGGCTCCGCAAGCTGCAGAAACACCGTTTCCACCTAATTTCAAACCTCCGCACGCTGCTGCCTTCGGGTGACAGTGACAGGGGACCGAGCTGTAGAGAAAGCTGCCACAGGGACCTTGGAATTCAAGACAGGATTTGGAAAATAAAAATCTAAACACGTCAGGACAGATAAAGACCAAAAATCCAGATGCTAGGAGGGAAGAGGGTGGGAAAGGCGTAGGGCGTTACCTTGTGCCTGCTTGTGTGTCAGGACAGTGTCCGTCCTCGGCACCTGCCTCTTCAGCAGCTGTGCGGTGACCATCTGGCCGGGCTTCGGGATGGACGCCACAGCGGCCACCTTCGTCTTGGGGCTTGACGTGGGGCTGCTGGAGACGCTGGACAAGTCCTGCTCAAAGAGAAGGAACCCCTCTTACCCCCAAGTTTCCCTAGAGGCAGTCGTAACGCTGAGCGCAGCAGCACACAGCAAGAACACGCATCCTTCTGCCGGAGCAGATCCACCTCGGAGGGTTTGTTTGCCCCACCACAAGCCACGAGTCCCTCCGTATCCTCTCACCTCCCTCGACACATTTTTCAGTGGTACAAAAGCAACCTCAAGCCTTCTCCAGCTCAAAAGCACCCCAGAGAGAGCCCCCACCTCTGAGCCTGAAGGTGAGGCAGGCACTTTGGCAGCCGGCGAGGTGGGCCTGCTGGTTCTTTCTGGCAAGTCAAACGACAGATCCCTCCTCGTTGAGTCGCGCGGCTTCTTCTTCTTCTCAGCGTCCAGGTCACGGGGATCGGAGCCCAAGTGGCTCTCCGCTCGGGTGAGGACTCCAGTCAAGAAGTCAGCTATTTCATCCTGGAAAGGATGAAACAAATAGACTGAGTGGTGTGCAGGTCTCTGAAAAACTGGCCTTCACAGCTTGAAACAAAAAAGAATGTAAGATTCCCAAGGGGACTGAGAGATGGGACTCTCTAGGTTTAATATTCTGCAAAAAAAAAAAAAAAAACAAACCCTAAAACCCTTTTTTTTTTTTCTAGAGATGAGGTGCAAAAGGAAGATTTCTGTAGTTACCTGGATGCACCTGTCCACCATACTCTGGGTCAGGCCTTCTGACTTCTTTTTGGCTTTGCTTATCCTAGTGAAAAAAAACCAAACCCACAGATGGAAGTTAACACATTTGGTTTTCCATTTTCACACTCACAACGTCATTTCTCACCCCACAGTAAGGATCAAGCAACAGCAAGCTCTCAACTTTAGAGCACTGTGTACTGGAAAGACGAGATTCATCTCTCTGAAGTGCTGAGACAAACTTTGATGACAAAGAAAAAAGCCCAGCATCCCAAAGCATTTTGCAAAGTAAATACAACATTTCCTCCCCTTCAGAGCTCTGTCTTCAGACCCAGCATTAGAGTTTGACATTTCTTCCTTTCCTCTCCTTTACTGACTATCTCTGCTGCAGATTTCTGACTTATACAATGCTCCAAAACCTCGTCTGCGCTGCTCAGTCCAGCTCTAGCATCAGGCCAATGCTGTCCTCAGACAGGACTTGCTCAGATTTTTGGTGCAGTTATTCCGAACATGCACAAGGGTGACAGGACTAGTTCCAAAGTCTTTCTACTGAGACCTCAAGAGTTTCTTGCTTCCTGCAAGGCTCTGACAGCCTCCCCAAGCCCAATTCTGTGCATAGCCTCCAAAAGCTCCGTATTCCAGAGCCAGGCCTGGCACGAAAAAGCAAATACTTGCTCTAGTGTTATACCACACTGTACCCTGGATCTTTAACTTACCACTGGGAGAAACCATTTATCACAGAAAACCAACCCTCTATCCAACACAACATGGTTTGAATAACAAAGCTGACCTCGATGAACATTTTTATGCAGTTACCATCCAGTTTCAGTACCAAATTTGGGGGGTTTTTTGTACACAGCACACTAAGATCCTGCCCAGTGTCCCTGGGAAGAGAGTCTCAACCTCGCAGACCGTTACCTGAGATTGTCATCTGCTCCTCCCACCACCACCATGCTGTTATCGGCTCGTATTTTCTCCCGGAAATCTTCCATCGCTTCGACGTTGCACTGCATGGAATTCTGGCCAATCACAAAGAGCACAGGGGTCTTCATCTCCAGGAGAGGGTCATCCACATCCTGCAAGAGCAAGGGGAACTGTAATTTGGAAGGATTAATCCAGGATGCAGAGTCTTTGGAGCCAAACACCTTTCTGAATTAGAAGAGCATTTCCAAAAAGGGAAGGCACGTGCCACAGGGGCAGACAGCACTTCAGGTGCAATCCCAGTACCTACCGTGTCCTGAAAGAAGTATAAATTGTGCGTTTCGTTTAACCATCTGGTGAAAGACTGACTCAAAAGCTGAACGAGCGCGCACTGGTGTTACTCATGAAGAGCCAAGACTGACGCGCTCCCCCTCAGAAACCCTATTTCACTGCATTTTTCCTCCTTCCAAGATTCTGCCGCACAAACCCAGGATAAGGCTAAAGAAGCAGCAACAGCAAAGCTTCCTGGGGTGAAGCCTTGATGGGATTTACACAGCCGTACCGAGCCCTGCAGAAAACTCTGCTCGAGAGCCGCACCATGCCCCAGCAAATGCCTTTCATACAGATTTCCGCTCCCCTCAGAATTATCTATTTCATCAGCACAACCATTCCCAACCCAGTCACACACTGGTCACCTAATAAAGGAGCAAACTGGGCTCCAGATAAACCAACCCAAGCTGTCCCCTCTGGTGCCAACCGACAGAGTTAATAAGTGACACAGCATGTAAGACCTGTCACAGGAGAGACAAGCAAGCACAGGACTTCTCACGCCTGTTATTGCATCAAGAATCCTACCATGAATCCAACAGTCCTGCCTGCCGGGCACTCCTCCTCCAAACAAAAATCAATTTTCTCAAAAAAATCTTCCAGCTATCACTGGACTCCCAAGCCTAATTCTATGAAACAATATTGGGAGACCAAAAAAAAAAAAAAAAAATAGTTTTTTAAATGTCTCCATCTCCCTTTGGTCCTTACCCCTCTGGGGCCATCAACGGTGAGAAGCGGGAATCCAAGGCACACAACGGCAGTGACATACTCCATCACTGAAACCTGGGCGGAAAAAACAACAGTCAGCATCCCAAGAGTCGAGTGCATCAAAGGCTGCTTTCCCAGGCTCCTGCCGGGCACAGAAACATCCTCCTTATGTAGACATTGCTTTGCTGACTAAAAGAGTGGGGGAAAAAAACCTGAACAAGTGAAATTGCTTGTGTTGCCACAACCTGCTCAAAGCCAGGCCTTCGAAAGAAAAAAGGGACAAGAAGAACCCTGGCAGAGCCTTAAACAAAACAGAAATTCAAATCGAACTCTGAGCTGGAGTTATTGTGTAGGCTCTGAGAGGATGCAAAGGCAGGGGATACTTACGTGACAGGCCACCAAGGCACCCGTGTTCCACCCGATCAGGATGATGGGCTTGTGAGAAAAGTGGCTGTGAATCTACGGGAGAAAAAAAAAAATGGATGGAGGAGCGGGACAGACAACGGGACGATGTGCAGGGGTGGCACAGCACCTCCAGGCAAGGTGAAGAGCTTGAAGGGAGCAGCAAAGGCTCCCCGAGACGCTCATCGCTCTTCCTCACCTCTGCCACTTTGCTCCTCACCGCCCCAATCATGTGCTCGAGACACTGCAACACTCCCACCCCGC